TCATAAAATCAGTCCAAAGAGATTCTCTGGTTCTATATTGCCACCAAAGTTTAGCTGAGAAGGTATCTGAGATCTCTTGCAGAATTCTAATGCCAATTCCTCCTTCTTCAATTGGTAAGCACAATCTTTTCCATGAGGACCAGTGATATTTTTGTTTATTTTCTAGGTTTCCCAAGAAAAGGTTTATAAAGACTCTTTCAATCTGTGCTAAAATAGTTTTGGTGGTTGGCAAATAGACATCAAGTGAAGAGGTATTGCACTTAGAACATGCTTGATAAGAGTCTTTTTGCCACCTATAGATAATAAGTTAGCATGCCAAAATCCTATTCTTTGGATGATTTTAGTGGCCATCTTCGTAAAGAACTCAATCTTTTTTCTCCCATAAAATAGTGGATATCCCAAATATTTGATGGGAAATTCTTTTTCTTGAAAATTCAAGTTCCTAGCCACAATATATTTTCTCTTGGAAGGGATCTCTTTGTCCATCAGGAAACAACTTTTCTCCTTATTGATAAGTTGGCTGAGTTATCTTCATATTTTCTTATAGTATCCATAATTAGTTGTAAAGTTGATATTTTTCCTGCACAAAAAATTATAATATCATCAACATAAGATAAATTATTAATCTTTGGTCCATTTGGTTGCATAGTAAAACCAATGAACTTAAGATTAATATATAAGTTATTAAGCATCCTTGATAAAACCTCAGCAGCAATAATAAAGGGAGATGGAGATAGAGGGTCTTCCTGTTTTACTCCCCTTTGTGATTTGACGAATCCATATATTTTACTATTTATTACCACTGTATACCACATATTGGATAAAAGGTTCCAGACAATATGAATCTACTGTTCTGCAAAGCCCATCCTCCTCATAACCGTGCCAAGAAAATGCCATGATAGTCTGTCATAGGCTTTGTTCATGTCTAACTTAATCAGGCTATTACCTCCCTTATTAGGTTTTCTCATATCATGTATAATCTTTTGCGCAAGAAGAACATTTTTCCCAATTGCTCTCCCCTTAATGAAACCGCTTTGGTTTTGAGAAATAATTCTGGGGAGTAGCTTAGATAAACTCTCATTCATCACTTTAAAAACTATCTTTTGGGAAACATTACTAAGGCTAATAGGTCTGAATTCAGAGAAATACTGGGGCGCTTCAATCTTTGGAATTAGGATCAAACAAGTGTTAGTGAAGAATCTAGGCATTTGCTCTCCATTAAAAATAGCTCTCACCAGATGAACTATATCATCACCGACGATCTCCTATGTTTTCTGAAAGAACATACTATTGAAACCATCAGGGCCTGCAGTACTATTTGGATTTATATCAAAAATAGCCCTCTTAACTTCTTCCAGAGATGGTTCTGCTAACAACATCTCATTGTCTACTGTTGTAATAACATTTGGTATGACATCCATGATACTCATATCAATCCCATTGCTGTCTTGGCTGAAGAGTTGTTGGTAGAAGTCTACAGCAGCTTGCCCAATATTATCATCTCCTTCTATCCATTGGTCGCCAACCTTAATTCTATGTATATACAATCTCTTCCTTCTACCTCTGACCACGCTATGAAAACATTTAGTGTTCTCATCACCTTCAAGTTGCCATTTGAGGTTGGCTTTTTGTCTCCAAAAGGTGTCAACCATCTTGTGATGGATCAATAATTCGGCCCTGGCTTTATTGAGGTTCATTCTATCTTCTTGGTTCAAAGAATTCATATAATTAGTCTCACATTCATCCACCTCATTTTTTAGTAGTTGAATTTTAACAAAGATATCCCCAATTTTGTTTCTAGACCACTCACTCAGGGCTCTGCTAGTCTTCTTCATTTTCTGATGAAAATCCAAAAGATGTTACCCGTAATATCAGCCTCCCATTGTTGTTTAACAATATCTTTGAAGTCATCTCGATCCACCCAAAAATCTAAGAACTTAAAATATTTGATGTAGTTCCCATCATCCTTTTCGGCAGTGATGAGAATTGGACAATAGTCAGAGCTTAATCTTGTCAAGTGCTGAACTGATGTTTTAGAGAAATGTATATCCCACTCATTATTAGCGACCATTCTATCCAACCTTTTCCATATGATCTCCTGCCCTTTTCTTTCATTACACCAAGTAAATGTGTGCCCTGAGTATCCCATATCTATTAAATCACAATCATTCATTCAGACATTATATAAAAGGAAGACTTTTACCAAGTCTATGTGGAACACCTTCCATCTTTTTCTGCATTAATGATGCTATTGAAGTCACCACATACAGTCCAGGGGATAGAAACAGTAGTAGCAAAAGTTCTCATATACTCCCAAAGTTCCTCTCTTCCGGCAGACTTAGATTTAGCATAGACAATGGAGACGAGAGCAGCTTGGTCAGAGTTGTAAGGCCTAACTTTACATGTAATCAATTGAGCATGGTTAGCATAAACATTACAAATCAAATTAGCACTCCAGAAAACCCAAATCTTATTGCTAGAGTTTGCAAAACAGCCTTGCATACCCAAAATATTTTTATAAAAGTCAATAGTAGTTTCTTGCATAAATAGTTCCTGTATAGCAACTAAAGAGATTTTATGAAGCTTAACCATGTAGATTAATCTTTCTGTAGCAGCTTGGGATTTCATACCCCTTATATTCCAATTAAGCAACTTAAACATGATTCGGAATATTAAGGGTTGTTTGTGAGTTTCTTTTTTGGCCCCTAGTTATAGGAGATTCTCTAGCTTTTCCACTTTTTTTGCTTTTTGATATGCCCCTAGAAGGTATTCCCTCCATTAAATTAGTAATACCAGTTAGGCCTTGAACTTCATTAATATTTTATTCACTACCAATTGTATCAATTGGCAAGCTTAAAAGAAAAAGAATGTAGTAAGTTTTATTTTATTTTTTTGCCAGTTTTTGCCGTAATAGATGCTAAATAGGAACAAACTGGTATCTTTGTAGACAAAAATCAGTTGTCTTGGCCACAAGCAATAGTAATGGTCATTAATATTTAAGACCTAGTCATATGAGCGTAGCCAGTAGGGTCACTTCCACTTACTTGTGATCAATTTTTACATCTTTTCTTAGAGAAGTTCATCCCACTCACGAGAAGGGAGGAGATGCGTGGCCAGCTTGAGCACCTCCAATAGGATTGTTTGTCTGTGACCGAGTATGAGATGAGATTTACTGAGCTATCTCGCCATGCTGATTCCTACCGAGGTTGAGAACGTGAGGAGGTTCATTGACGGGTTAAATTTTGGTATCAAGATTGTTATAGCTATGCACAACAGGGTTGCAGGTTAGTCTCCAGAAATAAAAGTTACAGAGCAGTACAAAAAAGGGAGAAAAAAAAGTAAGAAGAAGGAGAAGCAGCAACACAACAACAATAGTAACAAAAAACAGACACTCTAACAAACACCAACATACAGCTAACTACAGCTAGATTCGAGGCGTTTGGAGGCCAATTCACGAGGCAAAGACATTGCAGAATACAGAATTACACGATTTGAGGTAAGTAACAGTTCTAAATTTGGTCCCGAGAGTATGAAACCCAGGATTATGTGTTATGTGATTAGTTTTGAGGTGACGAACATGCTAGGTGACGGGCGAGTGGGCGTATAGGAATTGTGACTTGGTCAAATTCCATGGAACTGTGTAGTTGAATAATTTATTCATACCAGTACATTCTCTATGTGTTAGAGAAAATTGAGCTGAGACTCATATTAAAAATCATGCTTAGACATATGCTGTTATTATTGGTACCCACTGGGGTCATTTCAGTGGTTGAATTATATGTTCAAATTGTAATTTCATACTCAGTCATGTTTATTCATTTCATATCATATCTCAGTCTCTGTTACTATTTATTAATACATCATATTATCATTTTGGGTTGATTATCATGATTTTTGAGAGCCCGAGAGACTGGAGAGGTTGATGACTGAGTGAGGCCGAGGGCCTAATTGTGAGGATATTTATGGGATCGTGGTACACGCAACAACATGTTTCATTGATTTATGTCATGATTGGCTTGATATAGCGCTTGGGATGAAGGAGCCCCTCCGGAGTCTGTACACACCCCCAGTGAGCGCAGGTATCTACTGAGTGCCGAGTGCGAGTGCCGAGTGGTGAGTGACTGTGAGGAATGAGTGACTGTGAGGAAAGAGTGACTGAGGAAAGACTGATTGTGCGGCTAGAATGAATGGGAGGACTTTTACAAAAGGGACATTTCATAGTATAATTCATTCTTTCGGACTGGTGGAGAAATACAAAACCTGTGATTTCTAAGGTCAAGTGAAATAGAGCTGCTGCGTACTTCCATTGTATGGATGAGGCAGTTTGTGAATATTTAGTGAAATTATATGAATGGTGTTTATTAGTCCATGCGTTTTAAAAAAGTGAACAAACAAAGTCATTATTAACACAAAGTCATTTTACTAACATGAATTGATCAGCAGACTATCAAAAGGAAATATCCATAACAAGAAACAGGGAAGAGGACTGAAGAGAAAATAAACTGTTGAGCTGGTGTCCTTAGGCGTGGGGGGTGTAGAGAAGGGTACATATAGATATCTAAGAAAACAAAACTTCAATTGGTTGATAACTTCCAAAATAATAGGATTTTGCGAGATTTAGAATTACATTATACATGAAAAACATGATTATGTGTAAGACAAACTTGATTTGGAGATTGATGTGCCTTATCTAAAATCATGGATACTTTATTGGTCGTTTTAGATGACAAATATGATGCATAAAAGAAGCTTGTTAAATGTAAGATCGCAATTCTTTTTCTTTTATCCTAAGGTGCACTTTTGAATCTTCTTCTACTATCTATAAACACTCTTGCACATATATCATAAAAAAAAGTTGAAAAAAGATTGATAAGATACTGAAAACAAGAATATATTGAACTGAGAAAGAAAAACAATACTACTATGGAAAAACAACAAAGTCTAAGAACACCCAAATATTCCAAAACATTAAAAGAAAGTAAAGATAGAAAACAGTAAAACTTAAAACTATACAGATGAACTATTTTCATCATTGTGCCAATCCTACTTTAGACTATCTCCTTTGCGGGCTTTAAGCCATTCCCTTGTGGCTTTGGTTCTGCATCATCCACGAACTTGTTCCAGTACCAATGCTCTCTCCAAACTTGAGACATCTCTTCAATTGGTATATTCTTTGTTTCGGGCACGTACAAGTAGACAAACACAGTCATTATTAACACAAAGACCGCAAAGAAGATAAATAGACCAAACTTCATCCCACATAGCATCTTCAAGAAAATTTGTGCAACTCCGAAAGTGAAAAACATGTTCATGGAGACAGTAACACATTGTGCTGCAGATCGAACTTCCAATGGAGAAATCTCACTCGGAACCAACCATCCTAAAGGACCCCATGAATATGCAAAGTTAGCAACGAATACACAGATGCAGACAACCACTAAAGCTGCAAACCAAAGTGGCAAATCTGCTGCATTCCCTGTTGTTCCGAATTTTGCCCCAATAAGAGCTGCCACTGCTGTTTGGAATATACACATGAAGATGCCACCCCAGAAAAAGAGTATTCTCCTCCCAAACTTATCCGTACAAAAGACTGAAATAAAANTTCTGTATATATAATATCCGTGATCTTATATAATCAGGATAAGTTATGGGAAATTTAATGTAAAGAAGATATACGGGCAATTTCAAATAAAAAGAATCAAAAAATTGTAAACCTATCATCGTATCATCATCAATTCTTGTGTATTTATATCTATATCTATATTATACTAGTCTTAGGGTACGCACTTTACGCGTGTAACCATATTAATGAGTATATAGCTTTAAAGAATTAGATAAATATTGTCCATCTGTTTTAATTTATATTACGTAGTTTGACTGGATATAATATTTAAGAAAGTAGAAAATGAAGACTTTTGAAACTTGTGATCGTAGACATACCATAACATTTGAATGACTATAAAAGTTTATCATTAAATATAAAATAAAATATTGATGCTGAGTTATTTCTAAATTTTAAAAAGTATTCGTATTAGTTTCTGAAACGTATTATATAGATTGGGACAAAAGTGTAATAATTAAAACATTGGGGATAAAGTCTGAACTTTTCCTTTTACTTTATAATTAACCCAAATCTCATTTAAGCACTAATTAAACAAGAAGGTCAATCCTAAAATAATTAAAACTTGAAGGTCAATTTGCAATTCAAGTTTAAAAAAGGGTCAAGTGTCTAAGAGGAAATAAATTTAATTATTTTTTTCAAATTTATCACACGAATAAAATTATTTTTTAATTAACTGAACCTTTGTGATACATAAATTTGTTTCCATTCGAAGAATATTGAGGATGAAAGAAATCAGAAAATACACTGAACTCGGTTATAGTTACAATTAAGAATCAAATTAGTAAAATGCAAAGTTGAATCAATAAGAATGAAATAGAAGAAGACAAAATATATTCTAAATGGGTTGCTATTAATTTTTTTTTTTACTTTTAATATTTTCCAACAAATGACAGTTCTCTATATTTTTTATAAATTAAGTTATTTGTTGTAACATATTAGTAACTCAATTTTGATCATTTTATATTGTCACTAATCAATTTTTTTATGCGCCAAAGGGCAACTATTTCATTTCCAAATTTCTAAAGGACCAAAGTATTAACTTTCAATTTGTGTTATCTAACAACTTTTTGAAGAGTCCTTGATAAATATATTTTTGTGGTACTTGTTTGTTTAGTATTATATTACAAAAATAACAACAATTTGCATGGGTATTCCCACAAAAGTTCTGAAAAATCACAACTAGGTTTTTTAAAAAAGAAAAAAATCCAAAACTCCCATTAAAGGGGTTTATTAAGGACTATATGTTTATTGTCACGGCCCAATTTCTCCTATATGACGTGATGGCGCCCAACGTCGCCGCTAGGCAAGCCAACGGTGAACTAACCATGTGATTATTCTTCTTAATAATTTTAAAGTAGTTGAATTTTATTTATTAAGAAAATAAGGAGTAAAAAATTTAATAAAGTAAAGGGAAAACTAATGAAAGAGCAAATGCAGTGAAATAAATGCTCAAAAACCATAAAGTCTACTAGCATGTGTTTCAAGACCCGGTGTCACAAGTGTATGAGCAACTAGTAGAATATACAAAACACTAAGCTACTGTCTGAAATAGAGTAGACAGAAAATAAATACAAAATAGAAAGTAACTCACCACTAAGCCTCGGGGTAATGGGGATGCGCGCCGGGATGACTGCCCGATGCACCTGCCTCAGATTCTGCACGATTAGTGCAGAAGTATAGCGTGAGTACATAAACAACATGTACTCAGTAAGTATCCAGTCTAACCTCGAAGAAGTAGTGACGAGGAGTCGACATCGACACTTACTATGGGCTAACAATAAAATAAAGGAATGCTAAATAGGCATAGAATATGTGAATAATAATATTAACACAAAAGCAAACAATGATTAAATGATTCTTTAACTAATAGTAAATTCCAAAAATCTTCCACTAACACATACTAATTCCAAATAAATTTCGGCAAATAAATAAATTATAACCTCTCAATTCATGAAAATAATATCAAGTGTATTCGGGGCTCCAAGCATTAACACGCACGATTTATGTCGAGGTTGTACGACCCGATCCAGAATAATATGTACACTGTCGAGCGGCACGAACCATAGATGCATCTATTATACTGTCGAGGCATTCGACCCGCTCTACAAGAAGAGGGAATACTCTATAAACATCCGATTTAAAATATATTACAAGACTAATACATACGGAAACACAATTTCTATTAACGGTCAAGTAACCCGCAAAAATTCAAGTAAGTAAAATTCGGTCTTTACGAATCCTTTAACAAGTTTTAATATAATTTAGGCACTTAAATTAACAACTAGAGTATAAACATTACAAGTATTTCATGATTTGGTTCCTAAAATTACCCGGACTTAAGCATAATTAGTAGCTACACACGGACTCTCATCACCTCATGCGTGCGTAGCCCCCACAATTAAAAGCAAATAGTAATTTAAAATATTGTTCTCTTACAAGGTTAGTGTAATGACCCAAAATGTCATCTTTAAATTTAATAATTAATTATGTATTTTAAGACCTCAAAAATTACTATTTATCATTCCTCGACTTGCGTGCGCAGTCCGTATAATTTTTCGGAAAGTCTTTATGTGAAAAATGGATTAAAATGTGAATTAGAGCTTTAAAACTCAATTGAGTTGACTTTGGTCAACATTTTGAGCAAATGGACTCGGATCTGTGTTTTAATAGTTTCGGTAGGTCCGTATCGTGATTTGGAACTTGGGCGGATGCCCGGAATCAAATTCCAAGGTCCCTAGCCCGAGATATGGAATTTTGACGAAAAATTTAAAGTTTAAGTTCAAATAGTGATCGGATGTCGAATTATATGCAAATGACCTCGGAATAGAATTTTGATGATTCCAACAGCTCCGTATGGTGATTTTGGACTTAGGAGCGTGATCGAAATTTTATTTGGAAGTTCGTAGTGGAATTAGACTTGAAATGCCGAAAGTTAAATTTTTGGGAAATTTGACCGAGGGGTTGACTTTTTGATATCGGGGTCGAAATCTGATTTTGAATATTTTCATAGCTCCGTTATATCATTTATGACTTGCGTGCAAAATTTGAGGTCAATCGGACTTGATTTGATAGGTTCCGGTGTTGTTTGTAGAAATTGAAAGTTTCAAAGTTCATTAGGCTTGAATCTATGTGTGATTCGTGATTTTAGCATTGTTTGATGTGATTTGAGGTTTCAAATAAGTCCGTATGATGTTTTAGGACTTGTTGGTGTATTGGGTTGAGGTCCCGAGGGCCTCGGGTGAGTTTCGGATGGTTAAAGGATCAAAAATGGGACTTAAACAGCTGCTGCAAAAGCTGCTGCAAATTCTCTTCTCCTGTGCAATCGAGCCCCTAGAAATCGAGCCGAGGATCGAAGGCAGGCTCGAGATCCATGATCGAAGGCCACTGATCGAAGGCCCAGGATCGAGGGTTATGACCAAGGCCAGTGATCGAAGGCCATAAGGATCGAAGCCATGATCGATAGCCAGGATCGACGGCTGTGATCGAGCCCCAGGGTCGAGGGCCATGATCGGACTCCCCATGATCGGACTCCCATGATCGAGGTCTAGGATCGGACTCTTATGATCGAGGTCCAGGATCGGACTCCACGATCGAGGTCAGCCTGGACATATCCGAAAGTTATAAAAACAAGGGGGTTTCGTCCCATTCGCCATTTTTAACAACTTGGAGCTTGAGCAGAGGCGATTTTTGATATATCTTGTGATGACTCAAAATGTCATCTTTAAATTTAATGATTAATTATGTGATCTAAGCACTATTTACCATTACTCGACTTGCGTGTGCAGTCCGTAAAAAATCAATCGGACTTGATTTGATAGGTTCCGGTGTTGTTTGTAGAAATTGAAAGTTTCAAAGTTCATTAGGCTTGAATCTATGTGTGATTCGTGATTTTAGCATTGTTTGATGTGATTTGAGGTTTCAAATAAGTCCGTATGATGTTTTAGGACTTGTTGGTGTATTGGGTTGAGGTCCCGAGGGCCTCGGGTGAGTTTCGGATGGTTAAAGGATGAAAAATGGGACTTAAACAGCTGCTGCAAAAGCTGCTGCAAATTCTCTTCTCCTGTGCAATCGAGCCCCTAGAAATCGAGCCGAGGATCGAAGGCAGGCTCGAGATCCATGATCGAAGGCCACTGATCGAAGGCCCAGGATCGAGGGTTATGACCAAGGCCAGTGATCGAAGGCCATAAGGATCGAAGCCATGATCGATAGCCAGGATCGACGGCTGTGATCGAGCCCCAGGGTCGAGGGCCATGATCGGACTCCCCATGATCGGACTCCCATGATCGAGGTCTAGGATCGGACTCTTATGATCGAGGTCCAGGATCGGACTCCACGATCGAGGTCAGCCTGGACATATCCGAAAGTTATAAAAACAAGGGGGTTTCGTCCCATTCGCCATTTTTAACAACTTGGAGCTTGAGCAGAGGCCATTTTTGATATATCTTGTGATGACTCAAAATGTCATCTTTAAATTTAATGATTAATTATGTGATCTAAGCACTATTTACCATTACTCGACTTGCGTGTGCAGTCCGTAAAAAATTTTTGAAAAGTTTTCAGGTGAAAAATGGATTAAAATGTGAATTAGATGTTTAAAACATAACTGAGTAGACTTTGGTCAACATTTTGAGAAAACGGACTCGGATCAGTATTTTGACAGTTCCGGTAGGTCCGTATCGTGAATTGGGACTTGGGCGTATGTCCAGAACCAAATTCCGAGGTCCCTAGCCCGAGATATGGAATTTTGATAAAAAAATTTAAAGTTTGAGTTCAAATAGTGACCGGATGTCGAATTATGTGCAAATGACCCCGGAATAGAATTTTGATGATTCCAACAGCTCCGTATGGTGAAATTTTTTTTGGAAGTCCGTAGTGAAATTAGGCTTGAAATGGCTAAAATAGGAATTTAAGTTTGAAAGTTTGACCGGGGAGTTGACTTTTTGATATC